CCAGGGAAGCCCCTGACTCTTCCTTTTATGAACGATTTCTCTGTAGCGTGCTGTGCTATTTGACAGCATTTTACCTGCAGCAGAACTCCTTTCAAAACTGAAAACAATCCCCTCAAACCCTGCCGCTGCTTTATCAACTAAGTTTCTGTCATATCCTAAATCCTTTGTTGTCATTGCAACAATCGTCACAGCGTCTTCACCAGGGGTAGCTTCCGTCTCCAGAAACCACTCTCTTTGCTCATCCATAAGAAGCAACTCCTCACCTGTGAAAGTTTTATCCTGAGATTTCAGCAGTTGTCCCATCTCCAGACTCCACTTCTAATTCTAGTTCTCTTGCTGTTTCCACAGCATCTGCAGTGACTTCCTCCACTGAAGTTTTGAACCCCTCAAAGTCATCCATGAGGGTTGGAATCAACTTCTCCCAAATTCCTGTTAGTGTTGATATTTGACCTCTTCCCACAAATCATGAATTTTCTTTTCTTTCTTTCTTTTTTTTTTTTTTTTTTTTGGCTGTGTCTTGATGTATGTGGAACTTCCCCAACCGGGGGTCGAACCCATGCCCCCTGCAGTGGAAGCGTGGAGTCTTAACCACTGGACCACCATGGAAGTCCTCATGAATGTTCTTAATGGCATCTAGAATGGTGAATCTTTTCCAGAAGGTTTCCAACTGACTTCAGAGGAATCTATGGCAGCTATAGCCTTACAAAATGTATTTCTTAAAGAATGAGACTTGAAAGTTGAAATGATTGCTTGATCCATGGGCTGCAAAATGGATGTTATGTTAGCAGGTATGGAAACAACAGGAATCTCCTTGACCATCGCCATCAGAGCTCTTGGCTGACCAGGTGTATTGTCAATGAGCAGTAATATTTTGAAAGGAACCTTTTTTTCTGAGCAGTAGGTCTCAACAGTGGGCTTAAAATACTCAGTAAACCATGTTGTCAACAGACGTCCTGTCATCCAGGCTTTGTTGTTGTTCCATTTACAGAGCACAGGTAGAGTAGATTAGGCATAATTCTGAAGGGCCCTAGGATTTGGGGAATGGCAAATGAGCATTGGCTTCAACTGAAAGTCACCAGCTGCATCTTGTTAGCTGACATCCCTAACAAGAGAGCCAGCCTGACCTTTGAAGCTTGGAAGCCAGGCATTGATTTCTCCCGTCTAGCTATGAAAGTCCTAGATGACATCTTCTTCCAGTCATAGGAAGCTGACGGGAATTCCCTGGCAGTACAGTGGTTAGGACTCCACGCTTCCACTGCAGTGGGCACGGGTTCCATCCCCGGTCAGGGAACTAAGATTCCGCATGCTGCGCGGCACGGCCAAAAAAAAAAAAAAAAAAGATAGAAGGCTGTTCCATCTACATTGACAATCTGCTTAGTGTAGCCACCTTCCTGAATGGTCTTAACTAGATCTTCTGGAGAGCCTGCTGCAGTTTCTACGCCAGCACTTGCTGCTTCCCCTTGCACCTTGATGTCATGGAAACGGCTTCTTTCCTTAAACCTCATGAACCCAGCTCGGCTGGCCTCACACTTTTTTCTGCAGCTTCCTCACCTCTCTCAGCCTTCAAAGGACTGAAGAGAGTTAGGGCCTTGCGCTGGATGAGGCTTTGACTTAACGGAATGTTCTGGCTGGTTTGATCTTCTATCCAGACCACAAAAACTTCCTCCATAGTAGCAACGAGGCTGTTTCACCTCCGTATCATTCACGTATTCACTGGAGTAGCATTCTTAGTCTCCTTCAAGGACTTGTCCTTTGCATTCACAACTTGGCTAACTGTTTGGCACGAGAGGCCCAGCTTTCAGCTTATCTCAGCCTCTGACATGTCTTCCTCACTAAGCTTCATCATTTCTAGCTTTTGATTTGAAGTAAAGGACATACAACACTTCCCTTCACTTGAACACTTGGAGGCCATTGTAAGGTTACTAACCGATCTGATTTCAATACTGTTGTGTCTCAGGGAATAGGGAGGCCAGAGGAGAGGGAGAGAGATGGGGGAACGGCCGGTCAGTGGAGCAGTCAGAACACACACAACGTTCACTGATTAAGTTCGCCGTCTTATATGGGTGCAGGTCACGGCACCCCAAAGCAATTACTACAATAGTAACATCAAAGATCACTGATCACAGCTCATCATAACAAATATAATCATAATGAAAAAGTTTGAAATATTGCGAGAATTACCAAAACGTGACACAGAGATACGAACTGCGCAAAAGTTGTTGTGAAAATGGTGCCGATAGACTTGCCCAACGCAGGGTTGCCACAGACCTTCGATCTGTGAAAAATGTAATAAAGCAAAGAGCATCAAACTGAGGTCTGCCTGTAGATGAAAAGGACAGAGACAAAGCCACCAATCGCAGTGGGCCAACCTTACTTAAATCCTGATTAAAACAAGATGTGAAAAGAAAAAGGTTTTGAGGTGTTCACGGGAATTTGCATAGTGATTGGTTATTTGATGACACGAAGGATATTAAGGTGTAATAACAAGAGTGATACAATCTTACAAAAGTCTTTATCTTTTAGGAGATATATACTAGAATATTCATGGATTAAAAAGAAAAGCACATGGGATTGACGTATATACACTAATATGTATAAAATAGATAACTAATAAGAACCTGCTGTATAAAAAAAAAAAAAGCACAAAGTGGATGGAACCTGAATCTGTTGTAAGAACGCCTGTAGTTAACTTTCAGTGTACAGGGCCAATGAGGAATGGAAGGAGACAAATGATGCACATGGGACAATCCCAAGGATGAGATTTTGTACAAGACAAATGACCCAGAGTCTTCAACGAGTCAAGGGCAGGAGGGAAGCAGGGAGGGAGGACTGTCCGCCTTGGATTAGGAGACGCCTGGTGAGGACCTCGTTTTACTCATAAATCTGACCAGCTGGGAATCAAAGAGACATTTGTCAGCTGTGGGGGAAATGCAGATGTGGATGGGGCATCGGGTAGTCTCAAGGGATTCACATTAATCATCTTAGATGCTGTTGGGTGAGGGAAGGCTCATAATGGGATTCGGGATGGGCTTCAGAACACGTAATTGGCAATCTTGACGTTTTGGCACCGATAAAGTAAGTGTGGCCAAACCATGATCATGTGGGACTTCCCTGGAGGTCCAGTGGTTAAGACTGCGCTTTCACTGCTGAGGGCCCGGGTTCGATCCCTGGTTGGGGAACTAAGATCCCATAAGCTGCACAGAGTGGCCAAAAAAAACAAAGAACACTCTTTTAAGCCAGAGCCCCATTTATCTTCATTTTGTCACTTCTGAGAGCCACACAGTCACCAAAGAAAAGCATGTCTCCTGTTCCTCTTAGTGTGAAGCCACCATGCAAGCAGGACCCTAAATGGGCCTCTGTGAAGGAGAGGGAGAGGGTGGGTATAGGGGGGATGGCGGGGGGCACAGAGGGCACATCCCGTCCACATGGTGAAAATCGTGGCCTCTATCCTGCCTTGGCCAACTAAATGGTGTGACCCGGGCAAGCTCCCGGATCCCTCAGTGAAAAAAGCAGGGTGCTGACTGTGCGGGCACCTGGAACGTTCCAGAAGATCAGAGTTCATCTGTGCAGAGGGTCGAGACCAGCTCTGGGCTGGTAAAAAGCTCTGGAGGAGTTCACACTGCTGTTGCCATGGGGATGTGCAGGCCCCTGTGTTGCCAAGTCAGATGTTTTTCAACAGAAGCTGGGAGTTTTGATGTGGCATCTCTGGATTTTTGAAGGTTGGCCACTAATTTAAAACAAAAAAAGTGTCAAACGCCGAAAAGCCCAAAGTGAACATATCGGTGGATTCCATGGGGCCCGAGGGCCAGGAGTTTGTAGCCTCTGCCCTGATGCTTTGCAGCCACTTGGGGAGCCCATCCAGCTGGCATGGGTGACTGGGTGCCTACTTTAGGCCAGGCACTGGCCTGGCGCTGAGCCAGTCATTAGCCTGGCCTTTGCCCTCTGGGCTCCCAGACCAGGACAGGGAGCCCAATACAGACAGAATTGCTTTAGTGGAGGTGCGCACAGAGGGCGGGGCCCCACCGAGGGCCCCTCCCAGCCCCTGTCGGCGCCCCATGACCTTTGTCTGATTCCACCCCACCCCCCACCCCACCC